CTCCTGTTGCACATTCTTCCCTATCCTCTGGTCTCCTTGGTTCCTTTTGAAGAAGGTGGCTGTGTAACAAATTAGCCTGAGGCGTCCCCTTCCCTACTCTTCCCCTCATATGCCTCTGTTCCCCAGCTTTCTGTGGGGGGCTCACAAGTATAAGCAAGCTTTCCAAGGTTAAGGGCATCGGCAGCCATTGAGGCTATGCTTTTTCCCTCAGGTGAGTTGAATTTGCAGACATTGTGTCTGATTTCATTCACCTTGTGGCCGTGGCCTCTCCTTTACCTCCCACAAGGGACCAGTGCTGTCCAGAACTGCCTCGCTCCCCACGATCGTTCTTCACGACCTCCTGCCTCCGTTCTTTCTTTCCTTCTGGTTTCCTTCTGGTTCTCTGGAGCCAGGAAGGATTCACCTCATTTTTGTAGAGACGTAGCCCCACAGGGCAAGTGATAGCTGTGTTCAGTAACAGCAAACCTTTTTTAAAAATGTTTATTTTGAGAAAGGGAGAGAGAGAATCCCAAGCATGTTCCGTGCTGTCAGCGCAGAGTCCGACGCGGGGCTCAGTCCCACGAACTGTGAGATCGTGACCCGAGCCGAGGTCAAGAGGCTTTGTCCATGACACTTAGCCAGAGCCATCCAGGCACCCCTGTAACAGCAGACCTTTGCTTAGGATTTTGACCCAAAGAGGAGACCCTTCCCCCCCATCAGAACACAGCACATTATCTTCTGGAGTCGACTCAGTGCTACTTGGCAACAAATAGCCAGGAAAAGTCATGGAAAATCAAGCTTTTCTTAGCCCCTCACCTTCTGATAGGCCTGTGCTCCGACACTTGCCTTGTGTCCCGATGACCCCTCGTCGCCCCGAGAAGTCATAGAGCGATGAGCCTATGTATGGGTTTCTTTCACTACTGTGGAGGTTGAGCCTCTCCACAGAAGCCTTGACTTTGGGCCAGGGTTCTGTTCATCCTTATGAAAAGAGTAGGTGCCCTTAGGTGATTAGGTTTCTTGTTGGGGCCCGTGTGCAGATGCCTCCTCACACAGCGTCCTGGGGCCTTTTAATTCCCCGGGGCCGCAGCGCCTCTGGGGAGGACCAGCGCTCTCCTTGTAGCGTGGCCGGTAGGAAAGGTGCAGTTTGTGCAGCTCTTCAGAGCACGAGACTGAGAGCAGGTAGATTGTGAGGCCTTGTGCGACAGGGGAACGGGCTGACTGCTGCTGCGCGGACGGACTCCGGAGGGGGTTGCTGGCAGGGCAGGGCGCTCCCTCAGCGGGGCCACAGCTCCGGGCACACTGGTGTCCGGCCGGCCATCTGGGCATAGTCAGGATCAGCTTTCTCCCGAAGCTGTTGGGATATCTAATCCATTCTCTAATGCGATGGAGGGATTCGTCCTCGGCTCTGAGGAGCCTTCCTGCCTGACGTGATGGAGCTTGACGGGAGTGTTCATTACTGGAGGGCCCGAGAGCAGCGTGGAATTCGGGGGAGATGAGAGGAGACCAGCATCCAGCGGCTTTGCCATCTCCAGGGGTTCAAGTACTTGTGCATCGAGTACTAGCAGCATCAGGGAGGGCCTCAAAACGCCTTAGTTCTTGGGCTGCCTCGATGGTTTACTACTTCGTGACGTTGAGTATGTTACTCAGCCTCCCTGAGCCACATTACCTTCATTGACAGAATAGGATAACAGCTCTGTGTCTATCAAACCAGGGGTGTGTGACCGGAAAATGAGTGTTCAGGGAAGTGTCTTGACCACCATGAAGTAGTATATTGACGTAGGTCGTTGTTTCTAAGGCCAGTAGCTTATGTTATATGCCAGGGAGGCTGGTTACATTCTGATTTGGGGACAGAGGCCCATTTACTCAGACATGGTCCATAATGCCCTCTTCAGGGACTTTTCTGTATCCAGGCTCCATTTGCTGGATGTGGGCAGTTTCTGTCTTCCCTAAGGCCCTACAGAAAAAAGGAAGCAGTTTGCTCTCCTGAGAGAAACCTGATTGGGTTTCTTAAATTCAGCTACAGTAATGTATATTTACTTTACCACAGTTTAAAAAAATTGACTCCTGTGTTAGGCCCCTTTGCCTGTATGCATGCCTTCCTTGGTCCTCATCGTGATGTGATGTGAAAGTGAGAGTTCAAAATAAAGTTTAAAAATGTAGAACTTTCCCATAAAAATCTTGCATTTGGTTTTGCCTAAAATAGCAGCTCTGACCCTGTAAGCTGAGGCTCTGCTGCCTGGCCTGTGCGGGCATTTGGTTCTGACCCTGTGCGAAGGCCTCTCATCCCCCAGATGTTAAACCTTCCATTTATGATGGAGACTTGAGTGGGAAGTGTCACGTTCGGATTGGAGCAAAATGATAACGCTGTAGCTTTAAAAATTTTTTTTTATTAATGTTTTTTATTTATTTCTAGGAGAGAGAGAGAGAGAGAGAGACAGCGTGAGCAGGGGAGGGTCAGAGAGAGAGGGAGTCACAGACTGAAACAGGCTCCAGGCTCTGAGCTGGCAGTCAGCACAGAGCCTGACGCGGGGCCCGAACCCACGAACCGCGAGATCATGACCTAAGCGAAAGTCGGACGCTTAACCGACTAAGCCATCCAGGCGCCCCGATAACGCTGTAGCTTTAAAACTGTGTTATTTGAGAAAAGCCTTGAAAAGTCCTTAAATGGTAATAGACATTAGACTGATGAGACATAGTATCTACTCAGATTGTAACACCTGGTATCCATTAAAAAATGTTTAGAATTGCAGTTCTGACACAGACTGTGCTGTGGGCATAGGTTCTCTTTGAGTGTCTGTCAGTTCACAGGAAGCATCCAGGCCGTTCTCCCAATCTCGGCGCCCCTTTTCCATTCAGTCATTAGAGCTGTTGAGTGCCAGCTTGTGTTCTAAGCTTGAGTAAGAAGTCTTCCATCTAGTGGCTTCCTAGCCCCTCCAGAGAGTTGAGGAGATGCTCAGAATGCAGTCTGTTGTGCTTGCCTAAATATATTTGGGGTATGTCATAAAAACCAAAAAACAAAAACAAAAACAAAAACAAAAACCCACAGCTCAGCACCTATCAGAATGAATGTCAGTGTCAAACTGGATTGAAATCTGGCTTCATGTGGTTAGTCCAGCTTCATAGTGTTTATAGGAGACAAAAGTAAGAGCATGGAAAGATGAGAAGGAAAAGAGGGAAACATCCCAGGGAATATTAACCAAAGGAAACTGGCACAGCTTTATTAATATTAAATCATAGATTTTAAAACAAAGAAGATCATTTCATGGTAATAAACTGGGTAATTTACTAGAAAAGAATCTTTGATTTTTTTTTCCATAGTCAATAAATTTAACAAATCAGCAAGAATTTAGAAGTTCTGAACATGATGGTTAACTAGCTTGAACTGTGCCCATCAACCGTGGAATATAGTCATTTTAAGGACATTGGGAACATTCCTGAAAACTGGCTACACACTCGGCCCTGAGGTGGGTCTTGATAAATTTCAAAGATTTCAGTTAAGGCAGTGATTCTTAACATCCTGCAAGTTAGAGACTCCTTTGAAAACCCCACATACCCTTTAAGGCAAGATTCTCAACCTCAGCACTGCTGACATTTGAGGGGAGGCAGGTTTTTGCTGTGGGAGCTGTTCTGTGCCTTGTAGGATTTTAGCAGCATGTCGTTACGGACTCTGCCCACTAGTTGCCAGCAGCATGTCCCCGTTAGTAGTGACCGCCAAAAAATGTCCCCAGACTTGCTAAATTGCCCCCTGGTGGGCAGAACCACCCTTGGTTGAGACCCACTCTTTTTTTTTTTTTTTTTTTAATGTTTGTTTATTTTTGAGAGAGAAAGAAACAGAGCATGAGCAAGGGAGGGGCAGAGAGAGAGGGAAACACAGAATCCAAAGCAGGCTCCAGGCTCTGAGCTGTCAGTGTCAGCACAGAGCCTGACTCAGGGCTTGAACTCCCAAACCATGAGATCACGACCTGAGCCGAAGTCAGACGCTTAACCAACTGAGCCACTCACGCTCCCTGAGAACCACTCTTACTATAGGTCCTTTTTTTTTTTTTCCTCCAGAGTGATAACCTAATTTTTCTTCAGTAGCTAAGTGATAGTGTCCTCACCGAGGACAGTTGAGTGGGATGTTTTGTAAGAAGAAGTGGTGGGCCAGCCAAGGAGCCTGAAGGTTTGGTGTTTTCTCTGTGCACAGCTCCCCTGTCCAGTGGACAGACCCTGTGCACGAGGGCGTGGGAGCATCAGAGTTCTTGGCGCTGACGGCTCACTGCCACCCAGTTTCCCAGATGTTAGGCTTCTGTTTTGTTCTGGGCCTTTGGCTAGGTGCTAGTCACAGAGTTCAAGTCCATAGCAGTGGTGGGGAAAAGGCTATAAATTTGTGATACATGTGATCATGAAGGAATGTGAAAGGGAGAGCTTATGTCTGAGAAGCAGGTGATTGGCTGCGTATGGGACCAGAGAGGACGTGACCGAGGAGAGGCAGACATCAGGCTGGTGTTGCAGGAGAAATGGAAGTTGGCAAAGGGAAGGATATTGCAGGCAGGTGGATGCGCGTGCTGGGTTCTGGGGGCTGGTAACAGCTCAGTCTCACAGTGATGTAAAACAGAAACGGAAGATAAAGGAAGGCATGGGTGAGGCGTGCTTAGGAGCTTGGACTTGATCTGACAAGCAATCTAAGGGGTTTTAATGGGGGAATTGACACAACGAGATTTGTGTTTAGAAAGTTGATTTGAGTGGCTCTGTGAAGGACAGATTGGAGGCCGGGAGACTAGTTGGAAGCTGTACAAAGACACCAGCTGCAGGACGAGGTCTAGAGCTATCACGTGGCCATGGGGATGGAGGGACACGAACCCTCACGGAGTCAGGTTCCTGAACCCGAGTCTAGTAAAGGGAGGTCTGCACCTGTTAGCTCAAAGGAAACAGTAATGTCCCTGGTCAGAGGACACCATCCTTAGCTCTGAAAATAAAGACATAAGTTTTTATCTGAGAGAGATTTTTTTCCACTTTTTATATACATTTTTTTCCTCTAGGAAATAGACAGACGGTTGGAAAAAAAACTGAAGATCACACAAAAGGAGAGGTAAGGCTGCTGTCTGGTCTGAGGGCCCATGCTCTCTACTGTGTGAGAGCTGGGCAGTCAGTGGTATCGTCCAGGTGGCCGTTAGGCTTAGCAGGCTCCCGGGCAGGCTCCTGAGTGTGTCCCTCAAGGACACGGTGGCTTGAGGCCTTGAGAGTGAGGCTGGAGTGTTGCATCTGCCTCCTGACTTAGTGGGTACCCTGTGTGAGGTGCTCTGGTGGAAAGCGGGGAGGCGATAAGTCAGGACACTTGGGTTTTAGGCCTGGCTCTGTTCCAGTTGCTCTGAGGTTTGGGACAAGTTGTCCTCTCTGGACACCAGTTTCTAGCTCTGTAACATAACGAGATTGGACAGATGATTTCTCTGGGCCCTCTGTGACGTGGTGGTTAGGGGCATTATGGGGGTATTCTGGAAGAAAAGATTCTTGGAAATTCTCGAAGACCTGTTTAAGGATACTTTCCCCCACCCAGACAAGGGAGAAGGTGGGTTTCAGAGCAGGGGAAATTGACCTCAGCCATCTGTCTCTGGGTTTAGGTAACCTGTCGGCGTCCCACAGGGACCAGCGACAGGGAGGAGGAGGAGAGGACCTCTCTGGACTTGCTTATGATTCCCCAGGGGATGCTGGGGTGCCTGCCCGCCCACTAGTTTCCTGGCTTCCTGCCTCTCTTATCAGATTGCTGGCTCCTTGTCTGTCTGCTCGTCTCAGCAGCTGCACCGAAGTGTGTGTGGTTCCAGTCCCCTTGCCACTGTGTTCCTGTCCCGCCCGGGACTCCTTCCAGCTCCCCTGGCCGCAGCAGGGCTGAGTTCACCAGCCCCCTCCTCTCCTGACAACCGTTTGGTTCTGAAGAGAAGCTAGTTGACTGCTCTGGGGAGGGGCTTTGTGACTACGGAGGGGTGGTCACTCCTGCCTGGATCCCTTTTTCTCCTGTGGCTTTTGTTTCCTTCCCTCCTGTGTTGTTCTCCACCTCTCCTCGTGGACACTGTTGCCTGATGGGCACACCCAGTGGCCTTGGACGGTGCTTCTCTGAGCACCACCAAGCACCGTTTCTAGGATCGTCCCTTACCCCAGCCCCGCCGCGCCCAGGATGCCAGACAGCCCTGGTGAGGGAGGTGTCTCTGCTCAGAAACTCCTCTGGAGTTTGTCGGGTGTAGCTGGTCTCTGGGAGGCACAGGTCACTCACCAGAAAGCTGAGGCAGTTCGGTAAATCCTGTCCTGATGCCAGGCAGGGATGGTGGACTGGGCTCCTTCGTAGTGTTTGACTGGTGTGAGCACACGTGGTGGAAGGCCGTGGCTGGAGCGAGCACTTTGCTGACCCCTAAGCTCAGGGGCTCCCGCTACCCCAGCCCGTTACGCCCTGTTCTGGGTAGGGAAGTCGGGATTTTAACTGACATCGTTGGATGCTGGGCACAAAATGTTTTGACCCAGGGGCCGAACAAGTGGTTGGTGTGACTGTGAGCCTGGGGGTAGAAGTCCAAGGGTGAGATGGGGTCCCGGCCCCCTTTGCCTGCGGTGAGGTCTGAGGAGCAGGCCTGAGGAGGATGTGAGCGTGTGGCAAGGTTGCTCTTTTGAGAAACCCACAAGCAAGAGCTCTGATGTCTGGTCCGAGGCCAGAGAAAAATGCACAGAATTAGGAGGAGGGAGAGGAAGGTGACGGGGTGGTCGAGGGGTGCGGATGGGGCCTCCGCAGTCCGGGGTGGGACTGGTGAAGCTCTGTTTGCTCTTCGTCAGCAGGAAATCCAAATCTCCTCCCAAAGTGCCCATTGTGATTCAGGACGATAGCCTTCCCGCGGGGCCCCCTCCACAGATCCGCATCCTCAAGAGGCCCACCAGCAACGGTGTGGTCAGCAGCCCCAACTCCACCAGCAGGCCAGCCCTTCCCGTCAAGTCCCTCGCACAGCGGGAGGCAGAGTACGCCGAGGCCCGGAAGCGGATCCTGGGCAGCGCCAGCCCCGAGGAGGAACAGGAGAAGCCCATCCTCGACAGGTGAGTGTAGCCGGCAGGGCTGGCCCTCGACCGCTCTGCCCGGCCACCTTCCAGGGGACGAAGGGGAGCGGCCTGGCTGTACGTAGAGTAGCGGGAGGCGGGCCGAACCGGGGCAGGAGCCGGGGCCGCTCTCGCCCCGGTGGGCACTGGTGGGCACGCCCAGCGGCTACTGCGTTGGCCCAGGACTGCAAGCGCTGAGGCTGTGGTTTGCTGGCGTGCTGCCCCTGCAGGCACAGGGGCCGCCGTGGCATGGAGGCGAAAGGCATGGGCTCTGAGTCAGAGCCTGCCATTTCCTGCCACCGAGGGCTGCCTAACTCCTCTGTGCCCTCGGAGCCGGATGTGTGGGGGAACGGGAAGAGGACAGTACCTGCCCCGGCAGCTCACTGTGCAAGTAAATGAGCGAGGCGTTCTGAGCACCTCACCTGGCACAGTGGAAGGTGCCCCGTGAAGACGTTCTCTCCTGGGTCTCAGAATAGCGCTTTGTTATGTGTTGTGAATTTTCTTTTTCTTTTTAAAATTTTTTTTAAATGTTTTATTTATTTCTGAGAGCGAGAGCGAGAGCGAGAGAGTGAGCCTGAGCAGGGGAGGGTCAGAGAGAGAGGGAGACACAGAATCTGAAACAGGCTCCAGGCTCTGAGCTGTCAGCACAGAGCCCGACACGGGGCTCGAAACCACGAACCGTGAGATTATGACCTGAGCCCAAGTCGGCCGCCCAGCCGACTGAGCCACCCAGGCGCCCGTGTTGTGAGTTTTCTGAATCTTTGTCATCCCTGGTACGTTTTTCTCCACAGTCCTAGAGGTTGCATTATGTGAATTTGTCACCTCCTGCTAAAGCAGTATTTGTTAAAATGGCCTCTTTCTGGCTCTGAGAGGCCTCCTCGGGCTTGCTCTTCTGGGGCTGGTACCTTCTTCCATCCCTTCTTTAGTTTGATGGACTTCTGTTCTTCTCTCAGCCTTCGCTTGGCAGACTGGGGAAAGTCTGTCCCTTTGAGTCTTCTGTGCTAACAGAGTCCATTAACCACCTAACTTGGAGAGAAGCGGGAAGGCGGCAGCAGCTGACCCCTCCGCTGAGCTCTTGGTTTGAGGTCTTCACCTTTGCCTGACACTCGGGCAAGTCTGTGCCACACAGTTCTGTGGACGCTGAGCTGTCTGAGGTCACCGCCTCTGGACAAGGTGGGCCCTCGGGCACTCTCCTTGCCCTCTAGATGCGGGGGGAGGAGCGCTGTTAGCCCTCAGGGTGAATGTAGGCGCCGGCCGCGCCGCCCACGGGCTTCCCAGCTTGGAACAAGGCTCCCTGAGTCCACGTGTCCGAGGCGGCTCCGGGGAGCCAGAGTTGGCCGGCAGCCACCTTGGCTTCTGTCCCGGCTGCAGTTTTGAGATGTGGGGACCTCTTTGGTATCCTTTGTCAGGCCTCCCTCTGATCTTCTTCCCCCCAGGCCAGCCAGGATCTCCCAGCCCGAGGACAGCAGGCAGCCCAGTAATGTGATCAGACAGCCTTTGGGTCCAGATGGGTCACAAGGCTTCAAACAACGCAGATAAACGCGTGCAGGAGAGGATGCCGCCGCCGCCGCCGCCGCCGCCGCCGCCGCCACCATCACCGCCGCCTCTTGGGTCGTCCGCCACGGGTCGCACTGCCGTGGCAGACAGCTGGACTTGAGCAGAGGGAACGACCTGACTTACTTGCACTGTGATCCCCTTTGCTCCGCCCACTGTGACCTTGAACCCCATGCACTGTGACCTCCCTCCTTCCCCTCCTCTTCCCACTGTGATTGGCACGTCTATAAGGGCTGTCCCAAGTCAATGGAAAGGGAAAGGGTGGGGGCTAGGGGAGGGTTGGGGGGACCCGGGAAGGACTCAGAGTAGAGAGTCAGACAGTGCCACTTGGCCACTTGGGGTAAAGCCAGTGCCAGCAATAACAGTTTATCATGCTCATTAATTTGGGATTTCAGAACACAGATGAGAACTCCTGTCCATCCACCCCCAAGTGCATGTCTTCATCACTTAAAAGCAAGTTCCATTTGAAAATAACCTTTCTTTTTTTTTTTTCCCCTCCTTCCTATTTTTTGTTTGTTTATACAAATATCTGATTTGCAAGAAAAAGTGCATGGGAGGGGTTTTAGCGGTTTAATGAATTGTTGAGAAAGGGTAGTTGGGTAGCGTCTACTTAAAAATGTTTCTGGGAAACTCCCTAGAAACATTAACCAATAGGATTTTGGTGAGCTTAGCTTCTGTATTCCTACTGCCGCCCAGAAAAGGGGCAGGGCTCTGCAGCCGCCAGGACAGATGAGCACCCCATGCCTATACCTCCCTCTCCCGGCGGAGTCCCAGGGGCTTCTGGGCCCTGCCTGGAGCCGAGGCTAGCTCTGCGGGCTCAGAGAGCCTGGGGAGGGTGCTGACCCCACCTCCAGTATTCCGGGAGTTGGGGAAAGTGAACAGACTTCCCCTTCCCACACCCCTCAGGGCGCTTCCCTGCCAGCCAGACGTGCTTCTTCGAGAAGAGAGCAGAGAGTGAGATGCACTCCGAGCTCAGAAGTAAGGACTGTGAGACTTGCTCAGTGTTTGGCTGTTAGCACAAGGAGAGCCAGGAGAGAGTGGCTCCAGGACTCTTGAGCCTCCTGCCTCGTGTGCTCAGAAGGTGGAGACGCCGTCCCGCTCTGCGGGGTCTGTGAGCGCCGTCTGTGCGGATAGCGCCCGCTCAGTGACCGTTCCGGGTACGTTTCCTCCATGAAATCACTACCTTGGGAGCAGACCATTCTGAATACATTTGGGAAGAGGCAAGCTGTGCATCACAGAGATTGGTGATGACAGACTGGTTCCCCATAAACCCGGGCTACCCTTCACCCATTCTTCCAGAGCGAGGGCTTGGAATGAAGGCAGTTTCCCCCTCTTGTCCCTGGAGCCCAGAGATTTGCTTTGGCTTTTTAAGGTGGAAGAGGCTAAGAGGGCAGCTGCCCAGAGCAGCTGTGTGTGTGTGTGTGTGTGTGTGTCTGTCTGTCTGTGTGTCTGTGTGTGTGTCTGTGTGTGTGTGTGTGTGTATGTGTGTACACAATCTGGGTCCTCTCAGGCTTTCTGGTCTCTTCCGTTGCACTGCGCCTTATCCCTCAGCCAGCTGGATGGCCTCCCCCCCACTCCGTGGATGAATTTCGGAGTGGGTGGTATGATGTTTTGTGATTAGGGCAGCTTGTGGTGGCCAAGGTGGCAAGCAAGGCTCTGCAGGCTCACTCTACCTTTGGTTCACCTGGCTCTCAGCCTCGCCCTGTGGGAATGGAGGCCGGGCCCATGTACCCCGCAGCTCCCGCTTAGGAGGAAGGGCCGGCTGCCAGTGGAAACAGCAGCCAGCCCGTAGCACAGCCTTATAACCGTGAGAAGCCAGGAAATTGTCCGCGAGCAGAGCCGGGACAGAATTTCAGTCATGAAGAACCCACAGGCCCTTGGGTTGCACCCACAGGCTGTTCTGAGGAGGAATTCCCTCCAGGAGTGGGCACGGGAGAAAGTTGGCTGCTGTCTTTATAGTTCCCCTGCCCTGACCAAGTTTCCTCATGCTAGATGTACAGTGTCCGTCCCTCGTGTGGCAGTGGTTTCTGGCCCAAGATGAGACTGTCCTTTCAGTTGGAGACGGGCACAGAGGTAGGCCAGGGGCGCGGCCAGTGGTTGCCGGTGCTCGGCCAGCGGGACCGCCTGTTCTTGCCCAGCCCTCCCCTAGGGGGAGCCCGCGGGACGGCTGGCTGATGGGCGTCTGTGGATCGAGGACGTAGTAGTAGGGACCGGTGTTCCCACCTCCCTCTGGCCAAAGATGGGGCTCTGCCCGCTGTGTGCCTGCCACCAGCCACGAGCAGTCATTCCCTTGGCTTCCCAGACGGAGAGGTGGCAGGCAGCATTTTAAAAAGAAAGAAGTGAAAACAAGGAACTGTATTGTGTTGGGGGGAGGCGGGAGGGGAGATGGGAGAATGGTTTGGATTTTGTGTGTGGGGGTTTTTTTGTTTTTGTTTTTTTGGGGTGTGTTTTTTTTTTTTTTTTTTTTTTNTTTTTTTTTTTTTTTTTTTTTTTGGTAGTTGTCTGTAACTTTCCTTAAGTGCTTCTTCTTCCTTTTTTTTTTAATTTTTTTTTTTTTTTTAAAGTAAGCTGCAGGCTTTGGCTTGGAAAACCCCAGGGGGGTGGGGAGCAGAAACCTGAGGCTGCTGCCCCTTTATCTGCCTTCATGGTACTGTCCCCTTCCCCCCAGTTCCTCCCTGACCCCAGGAGCCAGGCCTCAGACCTTCTAGCTAACCGCTTCCCATGAGCCACTATTCTGATGTCAGCCTATAACCAAAGGAGCTGGGGGGTCCGGGCCGGGTGACCAACCCTTCTCAGCCCACTCAATCAGGGTGCTCCCAACCTGCAGGCAGGAGGCAACACCCTATCTGCTACCATCAGCCCCTTCCAGAGCCCGCTGCCCCGCCCTGCCCTGTCCAGCCCAGCCGTACCCTGCTCTGCCCCATGTGGGGGTGCTCTGCTCAGGGATGGGCCGGCAGGGCTGCCCCAGCCTCCCTGGCAAGCAGCGACTCTGGAAACCCCTGGGGTCCTGTTTTCTGGCCGTGCGATCCCAGGGGTGCACACGGGCCCCTTGGGTGTCTGAACAGAAGGGCATGGGAGGGAGGGCCGTGCCCCTGCAGTCCTGCTCTGCTGGTCCAGCGGGCAGCTGCCTACCCCACCCCACCCCGCACCGCGGGCTCCTGAGTCGGCAGATTAAGCATTTTATAAATTGTATTTTAAATACATGTTTTAAACTTGTCAGAGCCTTGTCCTCATTTCAGTCCCTGGCCTCCTAACCTCTTGCTGTGCCTGCCTGTTACACCGCTGGGGGAGCCACCCCTGCCCAGTCCGGGAGGTGCTCGCTCTTTGTTGGAGAAATAGGCCTGGAGTGGTATGTGGGTTGGGGGGCAAAGGCCCACACACCCTGAGGTTCCAAGAGAAGGGCCCCCACGGGTCCTGGGGCTCTGTTGGTGAGAGCAAGGCTGAGACCCCCTCCTGCTCTTCTTCAGGGTCCGGCTGCCCCTTGCAGGGTCCAGAATCTTCCCCAGGTCCTTCCCTTAGATTCACCACTCCTCTCGAGCAAGTGGGGAGAGATGCTTCCTGTCCTTGTGGGGATCCTAGTCCAAGGGGGAGAGACTCCTCTGCGGAGAGTCCCAGCTCCGTGCTTCGAGAGTACGTAGGAGGTCAAAGACTTTGCCCCCTGGGTTCCTTCAGCAGGAGCCCTAACCCCGGGCAGGGTTCTGACATGTGTCTCGGGTCAGGGTTTCCCAAGCCTGCGGGAGGCCAGGGCCCTGCACGCCAAGAGCCGCGTGGAAGGTTGAAAGCCTGGGGGTCTTCGTAGGCACCAGACACAGAAGCCGAGGTTTTCGGTGTTTATTGGCTTACCGGGCCACAAAAGCAAGATCCGGCAGCGGTACCTGCCTGATGACCTGTCCATCTGCAGGCCTTGAACGGCAGCCGCCAGAGTCAGGACTCCAGATTCAGTGGGTTCGAGCTGGCACAGAGCTGAGCCACTTTCGGCTCTCAGAGCTGTGTTCCCTAAGGAGAGAGGTGAGAAGGGCAGGAGGAACTGAGCCATCCCCACGTGTCCCAGGGGAGACGAGCCTTCCCTGGGAACCGCTGGAGCCAAGCAGTCAGGCTCCGGGGCCTCATTGCAAGTCCAGACTTCATTTACCCCCGGAGTGCCTGGAAGGGCACTAGCAGGGGAAGCTTCCCCCACACAGCACAGAAGTGCTGCTGCTATAGCACCGAGCACAGGAGTCAGCCTCGGGCAAAGGACTTGAGAGCCTAAACCCCCTCCCTGTATGGGAAAGGCAGGCGGTGCCAGCCTAAGAGAAAGACGGTTTGTGCCACTGAGTCTAGGCACAGGAAGGCCCAGGTGCTGTGACTTGGGCACAATCGACATGGCTCACAGCCCCTCAACGAAGGTCACTTGCTTACTGCTTCCATCCTTTCCCCCTCTGCCTCCCTGGAGCAGCAGTATCCCAGGTACCATCTCTTGGAAGGCTGGGTCCCCCTTGGGTTTGGCCAGGGACTCATAAAGAAGGAGGTGGATGGGCCTGGGCTGGAAACCTGCCTTCCGGACACCCACCTGCTTCCTTGAAATCCTGACTGCAAGAAAAGGCCACGGGTGTCGGGGCCCAGGCTGGTGGGGGTACCCTGGTCTGGCAGGTAGTGGCTGCCCTGCTTCCGTCGGACCATCTTCTTGTCCAGCCGTGGATAGAGCGGGACACAGGGCGCCTGGCCATAGGGGCTCTGCAGATTGGCAGCTGCCAAGGGAGGAGGAGGGGGGAGTGCTTCAGAGCACGCCCAGCCGAAATGCCAGCTTTGCCACATAACGAGCTGGGTGGGTTTGGGAAAATGGCTTAACCTCTCTGAGCCTCTGTGTAAGCTGGAGGTGGTAGCGGCAGCCACCTCCCTGAGCTGATTAAAGGGATGACCCATGCGGAGCCCTGCTAAGTTCTGAGCACAGTGTGAGGGCTGGCTAATGACAGCATGCACAGGAGGACGTGTCTTTTGCGATGGGTCCTGGCAGTCTGGCCGGTACACCAGACAGACTCTGGAAAGCTCCTGGCCCGTCGCTTGGCACACAATAGGAATCTAATCAGTGGCGCCTGCTGTCACGGGGCGGCAGCCTTGCCCAGTGGAAAGAGCACAGGTTTTGGAATCAGACCTGGATAAAAACTGCCCTTTCTGACACGTGCTAGTTGTGGGGCCTTGGGCAAGTTGAGTGTCACTATTCTCTTCCTTAAAGTGGGGTAAACGCGTGATGGCGTGGGTTAAATTCTAGCACATGTACAAAGCCCTCAGCCTGGAGAGTGACCCCAGTGGGTGTTCATTAAGTGGTGACCTGAGATCGCTAATCACCCTCCGTTCTCGGCCGCAGCTCTTGGGACCAACGTGTGCTCAGGGTTAAGGCCCCGGGGACGAGCGCAGAGGGTCCCTGTCAGAGCTGGGGGTAGAGGACTGATTTGCAGCCCCATGACTACAGCTCACAGTTCGGGCCAGTGTGGAAAACCGTGTCGGGAGCCCAGGGCGAGGGGCCGAGAACTCACCAGGCCCGGGGCCCTCACCGTAGTTCTGCTGTTTCAGCCGGCTCAGGATCCTGAGGACCCTTCGTTCCGGGACTTCCAAGCTGTCTGGCTGCTGGGGGGCGTAGGGAAGCTTCTTCCGGGCCCGCAGCTGGCCTATGGCCGACTCCATCTCCCGGGCCTTACAGGTGCCTTCCTTCAGCTTCTTCTGGTAATAGCTGGGGAGGCAGCATCCACCCAGCTCAGCCTGGTGGCATTTCGTTCGCCCTCCTCCCCACTTGCTCCTTCTGAGCCCCGTCCTGTGTGGCCAGCTCTGGAGCAGGGACACAAGCCCAGGAGTTGGGAGACCTGGGTTTTAGTCCCCTGCTCTGCCGTTCACTTCCCGTGACTGTGGGGAAGTCCCTGCCTTGCTTTGGGCTCCAGTCACCCCTAAAGGGAAATGGTTATCTCTACCCTGTCACTGCAAGTCACTTGACTTCTCTGGGCTTCAGGTGTCCCCTGGGTAAAACGGATCCGTTTTCACGTTCTAGGATTAAATAACAAGGCCCATCAGGTACTCAAGCGAATCAGGCCACGGAAGGAGCTTTGGTAAACGTGACTATGATTTCTCTTGCGGATATTTTTGCTTAGCTGGATATTTTGCTCTGGGAGGCAGCTGTGCTCATCAAGTTTGAGTTTTGTTTTCTTGACTCATTGCTACTTGCCCGCCCCCTAGTCTGCAGCACCGTTCATTCATTCAGGAAATATTCGGTGGGTGCTTACTGCGTGCCAGCTGCCCATCTAAGTGCTTGGGGAAGGCAGTGCAGGAGGCCTCCATGTAGGTCCCTGCCTCCTAGTCTCTCAGCCCCTCTCTCACTCCAGCCACTGCCGCAGGGGCCACTTCCACACGGACTTTGAGCAGCTTGGCGCAGGGGCAGTCTGACATGGCCTCACACCTCAGAAGCCCCTTGCCTGGAGCTTCTCTGACACAGAAGCGTCCCGGAAGTCCAGGAGAATTAAACCACTGTGAGCTCTACTCTTGACCAAAGGAGCTAGCAGCTGAGGGACATGGGTTTCTTTTTCTCCTGACAGAATGCTGAGCCACCGTTCAGTCTCCTCAGAAACTCCTGGCTGGTGGTTGACTCAGTGACACATACTTGCACTGGCTCCTTTGTTCACATTTCTTCTGTCCCTCCTCCCCGGATTCACTTTCTAAAATCGGCCACCTAGGCACACAGCTTGTGGGAGAGTCAGACCGTGAACAAGTAAATACAGCACCATGTCAGTAGTGATGAGGGGCTGTTTTTGCTCGCAGTGCTCAGTATAAGCCTTAGAGGTGGTGATGTTTGAGCAGAATGAGGGGAGGGAGCGAGTCAGATGGATATCTCTGGAGAAACAGTCTTTCAAGCAGAGAGAATGGCATGTGGGAAGGTCATGAGGTGAGAAGTAGCTCAGTGAGCTCTGGGAATGGTGGGGGGGGGGAGGTGAGAGGGGCTAGAGCCTGCTCTGTGGGAAAGAGGGGGAGACATGGGCAGTAAGATGGCACGGCCAGACCACCCAGGACTTTGAGGCAGTGGTGAGGGGTGGGCATGCTACCCGGTGTTGGGATATGCTAAGGCTTAAGCTGCTGGTTCCGCTAGGGCCTCTGCTGATCTCTGGAGCCTGGAATTTGGGGTTTGAAGGAGCTTCACACACAGAACAGAACATGAATACCAGAGCCCTCACGTGAAAGTTGGATCTGGACCCCTGTGTAAAACCAGGATCTGAAAAGGCAACGTGTTGAGTAAAAAGATGAACTAGAAAATCACTAAACCCCACAGGGGCCTAAAGGATCTGAGCAAAGTGTGTGCAACTTTCCTAGTCACAATTTTAGAGGAAATTGCTTGCTCTCCACTTCTTCTTTCCCTTTTCCAAGGACTTGAATGAAGATGTGTTGCTGGTAAATTGGTTTAGGATTGACCTAGGGAATGGTGGAACAGTAAGTTAGAAAGAAACTATACGTTGGGTGCTGGGCAGCCTTGTCTTCCTGCCTGCTTCTCCTGGACTGTCAATATAAGAGAGAAATAAACTATCTTGTTTGAACTATGGTGCATTGGGGTCTATTCCTGAACTAATATGCCAGTCTGCAATTCTATACCCAGCTAAACTGTTCAGTACATGTGACTATAAATACTTTTGCAGACACATAAAATCTCAAAAATTCCCATCCCATGCATTCTTTTTCAAGAAGCTACTGGAGCACATACTCTTCCAAAATGAGGGCATAAACCAAAAGAAAAGGAATATATACATACAGAAAATAGGCAATCCAATGCAGAAGAGAAGCAAAGGTAAAGGAAGATGGTGAAGGGAGACCGCACATTCGTAGTGCAACTGCCATAAAGGACAAGTTTAGGTTAGATCACGATAGCTTGAAAGAATAGGACCCCTTCAAAGGCCGGCATTACTGCACCAGTTGTTGAATCACCACCTTTCTAACCGCAAAAAACCTACTAGAGAAACATCTCCCATTATTTTTGTTGTTGTTGTTTATTTGTTTTGAGAGATGCAGAGAGTGCAAGAGAGCATGAGTGGGACGGGGAGATAGAGAGAGAGAGAGAGAGAATCCCAAGCAGGCTCTGGGCTGTCAGTGCAGAGAGAGAGAGAGAGAGAGAGAGAGAGAATCCCAAGCAGGCTCTGGGCTGTCAGTGCAGAGCCCGGCGCAGTGCTCAAACCCACAAACTGAGATGATCTGAGCCAAAGTCAGATGCTTAACCCACTGAGCCACCCAGATGCCCCTCCCATTATTTTTTAATCAAACCAAGAAAGATGAAGCAAACCAAGAAAAAGTAAGACAATGTAATCAAACAGAATCCTGACAGAAGAAAGGAAGAATACCTAGGATGACAGCAGACTCCCAAGATGATGGCCCTGCCAGAGGCCTAAAAAGAATCCAAAAATAAGAAGAATGGCATTATTTAGAACATACCTCCAAAAAAAGAAACCCTAAGAAGGCACAGGAATTATTAATGAGTACAGAAAACAAACAAAAAATCAAGGCAACTGTCAACTTCAGGAACTAAAAAGACAAGGAAATGAAATCATAGTATATTAAAATACTCAGCTATGAAAAATTGTGTAACCATAATAATACCCCCCCCAATTATTTAGTCGAAAATGTATTAGAATGGGTAGAGGAGAGCTGAGGAGATAGTTGTATCAGAGTGCCAAATCCATACATTAATAGGAAGTCAATAGATATAAGTCTAAAATTCACTAATCAAAATATTGTAGTACTTGCATATTATTTAGAAGTAAGGAGAGTCAAAAATTATTTGCCTTGATAAGGGAGATTTCAGCGGGTGGGAAGCATGGTGAGGAGAGGTGTAGGGTGCTGCAAATGTTTATTATGAAGCTTTTTGGACTATTTGGCTTTTTAAACAATGTACACATTAAGTTTTTAAGAATTAAAGGATAAAGTTCTGTCAGTTGAATACTAACCAAAGGAAGTTGCTTTAGCCATATTAATATTTTAAAAACTAGGCCTTAAGATAAAAGAAAACATCACTAGGGACACAAATGATAACCATAGAATGGTAAAATGTTCAGTTCATCAGGAAATACAAAAATCTAAACATGAAATATAAAGTAAAACCTGATAGAACTACAAGAAGTAGACAATGTCATTATCACCGAAGTGGATAATAGATGCTCAGCTCTGCCAGTGTAGCACCAAGGAATCCATAGACTATATGTCGATGAATGGGTGTGGCTGTGCTCGGATAAAAGTTTAACTATAAAATCAGAGTGAGCTATATGTGGCCTGCAGTCCCTAATTTGCCGACCTCTGTCAACTATAGATCTTCCCTAAAACTAAAATCCACAGGAGGAAGCGTTTGGAAGTTGAGTCTTCCACATTAGAAGGTTCAGGTAACACCTAGGCTTTTCAGAAATATGCGGTAACAGGGGCGCCTGGGTGGCTCAGTCGGTTAAGCGCCCGACTTAGGCTCAGGTCATGATCTCACGGTTCGTGGGTTCGAGCCCCGCGTCGGGCTCTGTGCTGACGGCCAGCTCAGAGCCTGGAGCCTGTTTCAGATTCTGTGTCTCCCTCTCTCTCTGACCCTCCCCTGCTCACGCTGTCTCTCTCTCTCTCTCTCTCTCTCTCTCTCTCTCACTCACTCAGAAATAAATAAAACATTGGAAAAAAAAAGAAATATGCAGTAACAAAGTAAAAAGCAAAGGCAACATAAAATCAGTGATCAGCCAGTAATTGAATTGCCTGCAAGAACAAAAAAATGAACGCTCATCAAGGGAAGAGTCTGGTCTCTAAATAAAACAGAATCCAGGCTCTAAACCATGTCATCTGAAATGTCCAGGACACAAGACAAAGTTATCAGACATGCAAAGAAACAGGAAAATGTGGTGCATAGCACGGCCCATAAAAATAAACTCATGGAAGGCAACCTTGAGGTAGCCCAGATGTTGGATTTAGTAGGCGGTGGCTTTAAAGAAGCCATTAAAAATACATTGAAATAGGGGCGCCTGGGTGGCTCAGTCAGTTAAGCATCCAACTTCAGCTCAGGTCATGATCTCACAGATTGTGGGTTCGAGCCCCGCGTCGGGCTCTGTGCTGACGGCCAGCTCAGAGCCTGGAGCCTGTTGCAGATTCTGTGACTCCCTCTCTCTCTGACCCTCCCCTGCTCACGCTGTCTCTCTCCCTCTCTCAGAAATAAATAAAACATTAAAAAAATTTTTAAATAAAAATAAAAATATGTTGAAATAATTGAAGGAAAAATGTGATCTTAATGACTAGAGAAACAGAAACTACAGACCTGAAGCAAATGGAAATTCTAGAACCGAAAGGTACAATAACTGAAGTGAAAAAGTTACCAAATGGGCTTCCTAGGAGATTGGAGATAGCAGAAAACAGAATTCGTTAACTTGGAGACAGATCAATAGGAATCATCCAATCTGAAGAAGAGGGGGAAAAAATGAAGTCAAATGAACAGAATTATGTTTCTGGCCATAACAAAACAGCTGGCACTGAACTTGTCCTCCTGCCATAAATAACTAGATACATGAACGAAGTATGAAACTTGTCAGATATTAAACAAGAGGCAGCACAAGACTATAATCCCTGAGAGAAGAGAAACCAATGAGGCGATCTCTATAGAACTTTGCCTGGAGGTACTTTCTGGACTGCGGTGCAGGAAGTGGTATCCCAAGTAGAACAGTAGATTCACGAAGTAAGCAGACAGAC